AGAGAGGAGATAATGGGCATCCTTGCCTAGTTCCTGTTCTTAAAGGGAATGCCTTTAACCTCTCTCCATTGAGAATAATGTTAGCTCTCGGGTTTTCATAAATTGTATCTGTATATTTTGTATGAAGCATTGCAGCCATTTTTCTTTTTCTAAAGCATTCAGTAATATTTTAAACTAACATATAAGAAAAATTTCATTTTATCCTTATCTGTTATTCTAATGTTCGTGTGTGTGTGTGTGTGTGTGTGTGTGTGTACACATTCAGGTACCTTAGGTGTCAGGTTCCTTCTTCCTGAGAGCTTAGTTCTTCTAGCAGACCTGCTGACAGTTACTTTCAACTTCTTTTGTTGAAAATGTCTATTTCTCTTTTCACTTTTTGTGATATATTTAATTTTAGAATCCTAATTTTAATAACTTATTTCATTTTAGAAATTTAATGATGTCATTGGAATGTCTTCTGACTACATAGTTTCTGATGAAAAGTCAGCTGTAACTCTTGTGTTCCTATAATTTATTTTTTTCTAGCCTCAACTTTTTTCTACCTGCCTTCAGGATTTACTTGGGTTTTTTTAGCAGTTTGAGTATTATATGCTTTTATGTGAGTTACTGTTTGTTTACATTCTATAATTAACTGCTGGATTTTCCCTGACAATTGGATTCTTGGTTTCATCTGTATCATTAATTTAAGAAATTTCTCCATAATTTTTGTTTGAAGTATTTGTTCCAGTCTTTCTTCCTCCTAGGATTCCACTTGCATTGGAATTTTATTCTAATTCACTTGTTAAGGTCACACAGATAATAGGTGTTGGGGTTTTTTTGTTTTGTTTTTATTTATTTTCTATTTTCTTTTGCCATTATTTTACTCTTTTGTTGTGGATAATTTCTGTTAATCTGTTCAAATTTACCACTTCTTTCCTTAACTGAATTGGGCCTATTTGATTCATTCTTTATTTACCCTGTTATTTATTTTTAGAATTTCTTTGATGCTTTGTTTCTAAAGAGTTAATCTCTCTGTGAAATTACTTGTCTGTTCCTGCATGTTTCCACTAGAGCTTTAACATATTAATCATAGTTATTTGAATTCCATGTGTGATATTCCCATCATATGTGTCATATTTCATTCGGTGTCCATTGCATACTCTCTTTGTTGACATACTGTCCTTTCTTCTTTATTCCTCTTCCCCTGCTTCTTTGTATGTCTTATGAGGTTTTTTTTAAACTCAGAAATCGAATACAAGTAAGAGATTGATATAAATCATTTTATATTTATAAGTAGACATTTCTTCTCCCTGCCCCCCCCCACCTTGATTCATTGACATTTACACTAAAGAACAAAAAAAGAAATCTTTTGGATTCTGATGGTCATATAATCTGCCACAACTAATTATCACTGTCATTATATATTTTAAAGAAACAGTCCTAGGAAATAAATAAGCAAGATGTAGCTCTGTTACAATTAAAACTTTACTTATAAAAACAAATGGTAAGCCAGGTTTTGTCAACTCCTGAGCTAGATCTTTAGTGGGAGCCAGAGGACTTCAGCCAATCTCCTAGGGATTCATCTGGATTTAGGTTTGCTTTGTTACTGTCATTTCTTCAGTTAACCACAAGCTTCGGAATTTTCTAATGTTAGCTTGCGTTGACCAGAGCATGCCTATTTTCCTCAATATCTACTCTGCCCTTGACTTTATGCTTCCTTTTGCACCTGTGCTTCAGAGACAGTGTCTCCCTGCCCACTCTTGCTCCTCATACAGTAGTAGATGACTATTCTTTATAACTTGACACTTACTAGCCTTAGAGTGGGAATACATGAGGAGGTATTCCCTGCTGTTCTGATTCAGCCTTAGTCTTAAGCAGGTGTTGTATTCCTGAAATTCAGTAGTAAAGATTTCTAAATGATTCTTTTCCTCTCACCCCAAAATGGGCTACTTGTCTTGCTATAAGCCTATTTGTATTCTTTCCCCTCCTTTAAGACTAACTCATTAACTCATTGCTATTGAGTCAGAACTAAATCATAGCTGACCCTCTCTAATGGGTTTTCTGAGGCTATGAATCACATGAGAGGAGATTGTATCTTTCTCTCATGGATCACCTGATGGATTAGAACTACCTGCTTTTTGATTGTCAGTGCAACTTCTTACCCACTTGGCCACTAAAGCTTTCCTCCTTTAAGGTTCAAAGATATTTTCTTTCCCCTTCTCTCAGCTGCAGTGAATATTCACCACTTCTTTAGAAGCACAGAGTTTGCTGCCCTTCCCTTAGCAATGTATGACTTTTGTTCCCTGAAAGATGACAGAAGCAAGGGAGCACTTTTGGATTAGTATCAAGAAGTTGTGTTGCAGTCGTGAAGGCATGCAGTTCAAATCCACCAGATGCTCTGCTGGAGAAAGACGGGCAATCGCCTTCTGTGCTGTTTGGATCTGATTTGACAGCACACAACAACAAAAACAGAAAAATATGGCAGAAGCTGCACTGAAACAGGGCTTCAAGCTTTCACACGGGCTTCTGTTCTCATCCTCCAGCCATGTACCATGGGGTCACTGTCTCAGAATTCACTATTCTTTCAGTCTTTCTTATTAGCATTTGATAAGACTCCTGTAGAATAACAGTTGGTGACATTTCTTTTGCTCTTTGAGTGTAACTCCAGGGAATACCACATTCTTATACCTCACAATTAATTCTAAGGTTTAGCTTGCTTTTTTTTTTCTTTCTTACTGGTTTGTGTAGAATCTAGCAGTGTGTGATACAGGCAAGCAGATGCTATGAACTGTCTGCACTCAGGTAGTTATGTTCTTAGAGCTTGGGTTAGTGGGTTGCTTTGTGACCTCAGCTCTTGGATATAGTCAAGATAAGTTAGGGATTTGCTGGCTGATTACACTGTGTGATGTTGCCATTGGTACGGGAGTGATGCTTGTTTTCAGCTTCCCTAATCTTTTTAAGCTCCCTAAGCAGGAAACAGAAGCTGGAAGCCCCCATCTGTTTTTAAATAATCTCAGCAGAGGAATAATTAAAATCAGGTACAGCAAAATTAAAGGAATTGAATTATTTTTGTCCTTGTTAGTACAGTAAAATCTCATTTCTTGAATGTCAGGACTGTGAAGAAATGTTATGGTAACCACAGTTAACCTTCACAACATTCCTAACTACCAAAGATCACAGAACAAAGATTTGAACACAATGTATTTGCCTTCAGAGTCCATTCTCTTTAACTATTCTGTTCAACTGTAGTCTGCATCTAAATCTAGGAACTTTTCAATTACTTGTGACTGTCTCATTTTATTGGGTAAAAGGATTTCACTCATTTACCTGCTAATATATGCATTGGAGACTACTAGGTTCCTTCATTGAATTCACATAGGGCTAAGGATATAAGTGCAGACATTGAACTTGCCATCATGAATATACAGAAGTGTTAGAAAGAGATGGTGGTGACTTAGAATAAAAACATTTAGGCTATAGGAAGCAAACAACTTCTAGTGATGATTCTGTATGACCATCCTTGTCAAGTGTTCTTAACTTAGGACTTAGTAGGGAAATTTGGGTTTTTTTCCTCATGTTATTATTGTGTGCCTTCAAGTTGAAACTGACCTATAACTGATCCTCTAGTGGGTTTTCAGAGACAGTAATTCCGACAAGAGAAGACTTCCCATCCTTCTCCCCGGAACAACTGGTGGATTTGAACCACACGTCCTTGGATCTGCAGCACTGCTTCTTACCAGTAGGCCACCAGAGCTCAAATTTTAGTTTAAGCATTTTCCCATGGATGCTATATAAATGTGCTAAGATTTTTTTTTCATATACTAATGCAAGATATGCCAACAGTGAGTTCCTAACTCCTCTTTTCCTTCACAGCTGGAAGAGAAGACTGAGAAGAATTTAGGGGAACGTGGTCCCGCTGCTGACAGCAAAGGGGCATTTCGGAAGGAGCGGGAGGCACACAAGAAGCTCCTCGCCGATAGTCATGGCCTGGTCATGGACCTTCGCTGGCAGATCCATCAAAATGAGAAGAACTGGAGCCGCGAGAAAGTGGAACTTCTCGACCGCCTGGACCGAGACCGACAGGAGTGGGAACGGCAGAAGAAGGAACTTCTGTGGAGAATAGAGCAGGTATGGGACACCTCAGGCACTAGAGAGAAAAAAGCATAGGAAACCAACCTGTCCTGAAAATCAAGAGCGTTATGGAAGCAGAGAATTAGAATTTAGGTTGCATGAGACACTTGCTCCATCAGTGTATTTCTTGGGCTTTCCCGAGATGAAGAGGAAGCACTAGAATTTCTGGCACTGGAAACCTAGGCTGATGACCTTCTGTTACACAGATCTTCTCATTGTGAAGTTTGTAGGCATTTCTTCTATGGAGAGAGACATGCTTAGTGGTGGGGAAAGTAACTTGTAAAAGAGATTTGAAGACTAACCTTGAAAAGTGAGGTTATTTCAGGTCTTACACAGTGATAATCTACTAAAAAGCAAACCAGCTTTTCTCTTTGCCTGTTAGAGGTGATCACAGAGGCAGCTCCAGCCTTAATAGAATTGTTGTCCATTAGTGAAGAAAGTGTTGAATTGTGTAGGAATTCAGTCTGCTCACTGGAGAATGAACCTGCTGAGCTGTGATTAGATAGGGCCATTGTCAAGGCAGGTAGCTCATCCTCCTCAGCTAAACAAGTGACTCAGATGCCAGAGGAATTTGGGAGGAGGGGAAAAGGTGAGAAACCAGATAATAATTTTCTCATCACATCAGTCTTATTTGTAAGATTTGGTTTTGTTGCGGTTGATCCTGAATGCGATGTTTATGAAATCGTCAAATTAAAATGACAACAAGTAGGAATTTCTCCCTGACCTGATCTTTATGTAACATACATTTTATTTATTTTGGCTTTCCTTAATTCCATGAAGCTTCAAGGGTGAATTGGGGAAACAATTTGGAGGGGGGGAAACCTGATTGCTCCAATAAATACCCAGACCAAATAACACAAGAGGCTTTTGGAAAAATTATGATGTATTCACCACAGACATTGGTTGTACCAATGACAAAGCTTACTTTAAATATGATATTGGAGTATAAGAGAAGGAAAATTAACCATGTGGTTAAAAACAAAACGTGGCCCCTTTGGTTGAGAAACCATTCAGAAGAAAGTATTGTAAGGTGCTAAATTCCTTTGCTCCAGATCTGAATTACTCACACACAACTGAGTCACCTTATTGTTGTTGATATAGAGCCATTCTGGAATTCGCTAAGTCCTATCAAGAGTAATATTGGCACTTCCCATTTGGCTAATAAACAGAGCCCTTGGAAAGAGTCTTCTATACTGAGCCTCCTCGTGGGTCTGCTTCATTGAATGGGTGAGGGGAGGGGTTACATGGAAGTTGCTTGTGTTCTTAGGAACATGGTCACAAGTTTATCACACCCTGTTGTAGTTTACCAGTATCACAGGTTACTTCAGGAAGCTTGTCACTGGGGAGCTTTTTTCTTGGTCTTCCCACTAGAGTGTATCACTTTTGTATGTCCTCTCTGTAACCTGTAAAAGGAATCCTGGTGGTATGGTGGGACAACTAACCACAAAGTCAGTGATTCCAACCCACTAGCTATTAGGATGAAAAATGAGACCTGCTCTTAGAAAGATTTATAGCCTCAGAAACTCTGTGGGGTTGTTCTGCTTTGTCCCATAGTGTTACAGAATCAATGAGTTTTTTGGGTCCACTTCAAGGGAGCCTTCATGGCTCCTGCTATGGCTCATTTATGGTTCCCTTTAATGAGCTCTGATGGCTTAATGTAAGGAGCTGCACTGCCAACCTGAAGGCATGTGGTTCAAATCCACCAATTGTTCTGTGGAAGGAAGATGGATAGTATCCTCCTGTACAATTTAGTGCCTTTGAAAACCCACTGCAGTGTCTGCTATGGGTCAGCTCAGACTCTCCCAGTGTAGTGACTTATTAATCTTAGCACAAACTTCATTTTGAAAGCTACACTTTGATATAAGGTAAGCAAGTCTTTACATTATTTTGTCCTGGGGTGTAAGGAGTTTATAATAAAGGAAAGGTGGTTAAGATATATCCAGTAATCTTCAGCTTTTGAACAGTATGTGCCCTAAGGATAAGCGGTTGCCTTAGTTTAAGACCATGTTTTAGAAAAGTTAAGAATGGTCAACCAAACCATATTTTCAGATTGTCAGTATTACAACATTTTTACCAAATGGGCAGCCTCAGAAGTTGGCCCTCACAGCAGCTCTGGCATAATATACTCACCACGCAAATGCTTCAAGCATTCCTGTTGTGAATCCTACAGTCTTCGTTTCATTATTTCACTGCTCTGTTTAGAAGAGAATTTGTTACAAGAAACAATGCTTCAAAAATGCCCTTAGGGCTTTAAAAAATAAATCTAGTTTTGTTCCCAAAGTAATCAACATTCTAAAAGAATATTTTATAAAGTCTTGTGCTAAATCCTGAAAATTAGGTAGAACAGTTATATAGACTTTCTCTGTAACACAGTAAATTAGCTAAGGTGGGTGTGGGGGGGGTGTGTGTTTACATAAATTCTGTCACTATTTGTGCTGGTTGCTTTTTAAATCGCCTTTTAGATTGCTCATTCATTTAACTTTTAGTTATACATTCCATGGATAAATTAGAAATGTAGTGGAACATCCTTCATAAACTATGAACAGAACCTTGACTGTGGTGATAATAAAAGTGAGGAAAGAAGTGATGCTCAATGCATTGTCCACCTTGAGAACACATAGTTGTCCAGGGTCATCAAATTCTATATAGTTGTGTGCCACAGAAGGCATTGTGTATGAGAATGGCTGTAAGATTTTGGTAGCAATCATGTTAACAATATTGTGTATCTTCTCAGCATTTTTGGTCTCAGTCTAAACTCAATTGCATGGTAGTTACTGCCTAGGGACACAATCCATTTCCCTTCAGCAAGGTTACAAGTCCTGACAACCCTGAAGGAAAGGTGATAGGATGTCTGCTTGGGCTTTTTCCAGTAACTTGCTTACAATAGCTTCCTTTGCACCCCGAAAGCCCTTCTTTCCTAGCCTGCTTACAGAGTGATCTTTTCCCTTTGGACCATTCTAGGTAAGGTGACACCCTTGAGGGCTTATTGTTTCTATATTACTGGAAATGCAAACCTTTCAAATGTTGTGTTTGTCTTAAAAGTTGTTCTCTTTTAAGGCTCTCAGTACAGATTCCTGATTTTGAATGTCCCTTCCCAGGAAACCTAACCTTTAAAAAAAATTATTGATATTTTAACAAAAATTTACAGAAAACTTAGATTTCCATTTATTCATTGTTGCACATTTTCCTCCCTATCCTTTAAGTACCCATTCATCCATGGTGGCCCCCAGAAATCTCTGTGTAGTAGGTAAACTCCAGCCAGAGCCATTCTATTTCTTTACTAGGAAAGCTAACCTTGGCCAGCTTAAACCCAACTCTGTCCAGCTTCTTGCATGCCACCCAGGGCTATTTTGAGTTCCTGTCTTTCTGCTTAGGACACGCTTGCTCCCAATTCTCTCCTCATTCCTGCTCCCTCCTCACTCACTCTCTGCATAGTGACAGCTTCAGAGCTGCATCTTGCATTTTAATTCCTTGCTCAGAATAGCTCAGAAATGAACATGTGTTGAGACTAAATTGTGCTGACATATACTTTATGAACATAATGAAAAGCTTTCCTTTTTTTTTTTTTTACTTTAAAAAAAAACATTTAATGTATTTTAAAAGAACTGTCAGGAACTGTGCCACTGGGGAGAGGGTAGAAATGGGGAGGACTTAGATGAAGCCTAGAATAATTGTTTTCATCTCAAATTGATTGTGATTCAGCCTCACATGCTAGCATTTAAACCAGCTGCTTAGACCTTCATCTTTTCATAATAGTTTTGTACTGATTCACTACCTCTGAAATTACTAAACATGAATAAATGCTCTATGGTCTCCTGACCTTTCAGGGCTTAGTTCTAAGCTGTACACATGCCACACCTACATCCAACTTGTAGGGCTCAAAGATATGGCTTGTTAATATGCTCTTTTGCAAACTAAATTGACGTGGTGCCAAGGAAGTTGTAGAATGTCCTGACACAATCTCAGCACCTCATGAATATTTTTGTTCTGCCATTCCTTCAGGTCAAGTCCATATGTCATAGTAGTTATTCAGATAATCCACTGATTAAAAAGAGTGTAAGACCCAGGAGAGTAAATAAGCTTGTTGTCAGATTATAGAACCTCACTCGGGGTACTGAGATGAAATGTTCTCAGGCTTGAACTGGCTTTCTGTTCAGGTTTAATAAAGTGGGCAACTGGGAGAGGTCCAGAGTGAAGTTCATCTAAGGATGAGGCCTACTCTGGAGCCTACTGTGCCACCACCTGTTTCAACAGTTCCCTGTTGCCCTACCCTGGCTTCCCTCCTAAAAAAACCCCATAGGATCTAGTTCCAAGCAGTGAAATATGCCAGAAAGGTACGGTCTATGGGCCATGGCTCCCAAGAACAGGTAGACCAAAGGGGCTGCACCAGTGCATGAGGCACCTTCTCCATTCCATAGATACCCTCAGGCAGTTCTCCCAGCCAGCCAGGCACACAGGCACAATATGGCTTAGTTTCTTTGGTTCCTGGCAGCCTAGTGCTTCCTCACAACCAGTTCTTGAAGATTTGTTGTTGTTAGGTGCCATTGAGTATGACTTACAAGAGACCTATGAAAGGTCTGAACCCTGTCCTATCCTACACGATCCATATCATCTTCAACACAGTTGAGCTATTGCTGCAGTCACTCTATCAGTCCATCTAATCTTTTGCTGACTTACCATCTTTCCAAGCATGATGCCCTTTTCCAAGGAATAGTCTCTCCCAACAACTTGTGAGATGAAATTTCACCATAAAATATGTGAAATGAAGTTTCACCATCTTTGCCTCCAAGGAACACTTGGGTTGCACTTTCTCCAAGATATATCATTCTTTTGGCAGTTCATGGAATATTCAGCATCCTTCTCCAACATCACAACTCAAAGGCATTGATTCATATTCTGTCATTCCTATGCCCAGCTCTCAAATGCACAACAGGTGATTAGAAGGACTGTGTCTTGAATCAGGTATATACACCTTGGTCTTTAAACTGTCATCATGT